TTCTCTTCTCCAGGCTGAACAGCCCCAACTCTCTCAGCCTCTCCTCATAGGAGAGGTGCTCCAGCCCTCGGATCATCCTCATGGCTCTCCTCTGGACACACTCCAGCAGGTCCATGTCCTTCTGCTGTTGGGAGCTCCAGAGCTGGATGCAGTACTCCAGGTGGGGTCTCACGAGAGTGGAGTAGAGGGGCAGAATCACCTCCCTTGACCTGCTGGCCACACTTCTTCTGATGCAGCCCAGGATGTGGTTGGCCTTCTGGGCTGCGATCGCACATTGTTGGTTCATGTTGAGCTTCTGGTCAATCAGCATCCCCAGGTCCTTCTCCTCAGGGCTGCTCTCCAGCCATTCCCCGCCCAGCCTGTATTTGTGCTTGGGATTGCCCCGACCCAGATGTAGGACCTTGCACTTGGCCTTATTGAAATGCATGAGGTTGGCATTGGCCCAATGTCCGTTTTAGAAACACGCTAACCTTAAGCTTGCCTACGGCTGCTCCTTCCAGTGCCAGACGCGACTCTGGGTAAACTCAAACCATAAGAGACCCGGTGCTGATGGGATCCACCCTACACCATGGTGATACCCTTCCCGGACGCTCGGTCAGCAGCAGATGCTGGTGCTGGAGCACAGGGTGTCGACGGCTTTCTGTCTCTTCACCGTGTTAAATTTGCAGCAGCGTGCACTCACCTCCTCTGGATGGGAGTGGGGAAGACGCCCCGGCGCTCGCCCCAATTTACAGAGCCGTACCGCACGCCTCCCAGCAGGCAGCGAGCTTTGCTCTCCATCTCCGAGTGCTTGAGACAGACACATTTTCCACTGAGCAACTTGCAAGCCGAAAGCAGTTTTCAAAGGCATAGTGGGATTTTGGAGCAATGAAATCGCCTTGCAAAATATCATGAAAACATTGACATTTAACCAAAAAGCCCTCAAAGAACCCATAAACATGTGTATGGAAATGTTACCATGGTACCTTGCCAAGGTTTCAGTCTCTGCGCCAAGCTCACCAGCAGGTTACATCCCCCGTAACGCCCGGCAGCAGCGCTGCCAGCCTCTCTCTTTCCTTTCAGCACAACCACATTTGTGAAATTTATAAGATGTTCATAAGCAATTTGCCATCAGGGAAAAAAAAAAAAAAGGCAGTTACAGGATGCTCACATGTCTACGCTCGCTCCCGTTTGCATTCTTCACCAGCTCTTGTGATATGTTTTTTAAAAAGGCTTTCAGACCCAATTGAAAATCCACACAACTATTAAACTGGAAGGTTTAACTTAAGTATCAGTCAACAAGATGGAACCAGGATCAATTTGTATTGATCCTGGATCTCCCTTGGTAGTTACCAATTTGGAAAAGATTTCTTGCTAACCTCTCTCCTACGTGCAGCACAAAGTGATGCCCAAGAGTTGATCCCACTTTTAGGGCCTCAGGCACAGAACACACCAGACCATTCGCACTGCCTGGGCGTTATGCCTCACCAGTATCATGTATCCAGCTGAAATTTGGCAGACCCTGGCTGCTGCCCAGCAGGTTGTATGGGACCTGGCCTAACAGGTCCCAGTCCTGGATGCCCACCGGCCCCGCAGCCACTGCCCCGTGGGTGTCAAACAGACCAGGCAGAAAGGATGCTGGTGGAGAAACATTTGGAGATGGAAAAATGATGATCTCCATCTCTCCCACAGGTCTGGCTGAGGTTGAGCAGCGGGTTCAAGATGGTAGTATGGGAAAACACACATACACAGGTGGACAAGCACACACGTGCAGTACAGCAGCGTAAGCTTGATTTTCTTAGGAAACCAGACTAAAAAAAATACAGGAATACATAGAAAATCCATGAAGCAACCAGATGGTAAGGAAACTGGAACAGTAGCTGTAAAGTCCCCCAGCTCGCTCTAAAACCCTTTAAAAAATTCATCAAATGAAGTAACGGTGTTAAAGATGCTTCTCCCTGGGCTTAGCAACATTAGAACATTTAAGGCAAATAAGAGCAGTGACTTCCGAAAACATTATCTCATTTTCCCTAGAGCTGAGCGATTGCCATTATCTTTTCAGGTAGGCTGTGCAATATCGAGCTGGATCCAAAGGGAAGAGCA